TGTGGCTTGGGTCCAGCGGGGCTGAGGCAGCCACATGCAACAGAAACTCTGTCTCAGCCTCCTGAACTGTTAGACCGAGCCATGACTTCTTGGAGTGAAATCCAGGAGGATGAGTCCTCCTGCAGTGAGCCAAAACGGTCACGGGAGACCTGGGCCTTGCCAAGAGCGCAGCCCCTCCATCCCCCTGTAGCTGCTGCCCAGCTAGCTGCGTGCAGCCAGCACATGCTTAGCAAAGCACCATGTTTGGACAGGGGCAGCTCTTCCCCAAAGCCCTCTCCTCTCTTCCTTCACAGATAACCCAGCTCTTTCATAGGAACGAAGCACTTTCCCAGTTTCTTGTGCCCTCTCCTCCCTCCACCACCTCAGTTCCTTTCTTTGCCACCAGGTGACTTCAGCAGGGAGGACGGACAAGCGGCGCCCTGGAGCAGACACTGCGCCTGCTCCTAGGAGATAGCACAAGTATTGAAGAAGTGTGCAAAGAAAGAACAGAGCCAGCCCACGCCGGGCTCCTCTTCTGTCCAGTACAGGTACAAACCGCCTACCGTAGTGTAAATGACTGCCACCGGAAGGATCCTGCTTCCTGTGACATCCTGTCCCATGTAGGGATGGGTCCGGAGAAGTCTTGGTGCTGGGATCCAGGCTTCTCACACTGCCCAAGAACGAAGTCCCTGGTCTCTGCCTCCACCATTCTCGCCTGTCCTCGGGAAGCACCTCTGGTGTGCGCTGAGACTAGGTCCGGGGGTGTCCTTCTCTGACCTGCCTTCTGAAGTAGCGGATGGCAGAAAGTGTGCCAAAACTTGCCAGGAACACTGGAAAAAAGCCCAACACATTTCCAGAGTGAGTCTGGGTGCTTCTTCCAAACCTGAAGATCTTTCTCCAAACTCGAAGATCACAAGCTATGTGGGTCACTCCCCTCCCTTTCTCAGTCCTCTCCTGCCTTTGTTTTTCATCCCCACCACACTGTGCTTGTTCCCATTCAGTCCTGAGCTGCCCACAGCCTGGCCAACCACAACTACTCCTATAGTTTGGGCACACAGATCACACCACCATTTCACAAGAAACGGCTGTTTTTAAGGGCAACACAACATAGACTTCATGTGTGTGGTAGAGATGGGTGGTTCATGTGGAGATCTAATGGCTCGAATCCTGGATGAGAAGGCCACAGTAGGAAATCTTATCACAGCTTCAGGACAGTTCCTTCATTTTCTACTTCTGTTTGGACCAGGAAGATGCCAAGAAAAATACCGTCTTGTGGGTTATCTGTGGATACTCTGATCCCAGACAAAAGCAGAAAATACCCAAACCCCAGAATCAGAAAATGCAGAGATACAAAAAACAACTAATGGAGATTATACATGGAATCAAGCTCTTTTCTGTACTTTCAGCTAATGGTTTTAGCTTGGCTTATAAAAGAGGTCAAATACTCCTTACCTGTGCCCAAGCAAAACTGGGAGCCCAAGCCATGAATTTGGACTTCCCAGTTTAAAATCAGACTTGATTTTTATTTTCGTGTTAGAGCCTGGGACACAGACAGGGAAATTCAACTGCTTAGAACCTAAAATGCCAAAAGGGAACTGCGAGTCCCAGATGGCAAACCGCCTCTTGCCCGCCCTCCTTGCCGGGGTGCTTACCGCACGCCGGGTTATGCAATCCTGAGGGCACGAGGCCCATATCCCGCTTCTCGCACCCTCTCTGAGGCCACTTCTACCACCTCATACTAAGAAGGCAACGAGGAGCAGGCCAAAAGCTCCTTGTGATGATCGCACCGAGCAACTTTAGCTAATGAGCTATTCCCAGCCCAGGGTGTCAGCTTCCTGTGTGACCTTAGTGGGGAACATTCCTCCCCCGGACAAGCAGCCCAAAGCCCTGGCCCCGGTGTCTCGCCTCATGGCGGGGGTCTCCGGTGCCCACAGGAGGGCTGCTGCTCTTGCCGGCCCCTGCCCTGCTCATGCGGCGACCCGCAGCCCTTGGCCACAGCTCAGCTAATTCACGCTGCCCCAGCTTCCTCGCTCCCCGCCGTTGGAGAGGAGAGGAACTGACAGAGCTCCGTTTACTTGCAGGACTCAGTGCACCCAGATAATACTTCAGCTAAGCTGTATTTAGAAAAAAGATTATACCTTCACCGCACGTTAGAAAAATACGTGCATTTGTTCCAGCTGAGATGAAGGAGTATAAACCTGCATGCTCGAGGTCCTGATTCAGCTTCTAGCCAGCACGGATCCTAAAGCAGCCTCTCTTCCCCTGACACACTGGTACTGGTCCCTGTCAGAGGCTGGATGGAGCAGGGCCAAAGCTAGGAATACAAACTTGTCCTAGGGCTCAGTTTGAGTCAGCAGCCACTTTGTGTGGGGAAAGGACAACATAAGCGAGCAGGAATCAGGACTGCCATTTCTATAGGTGAGAGAAGGTATTAGAAAGTAACAGGACACTTCGGAAAAGCAGGAAAATGACTGTATATTCCCACAGGCAGCATTAGGAGTGTTAGCAACCCTGTCTTTTTCCCTGCCATGTCTTCCACGAGGTCCTTCCCACCCCTCTCCCGCCAGGCTGGGCACTGTACATACTGGTCTTCCAGGCGTCTGGAGCCTGGAGGTCGGAGGTCTTCACTGCCCAGGATGCAAAGGCACAGAAGACGAGGCACATGTCTTTGTGGGTCAGCGCCAGCGGAGCCTCAGGCCTCCCTGCAAGAAAAACAGCACGAGGCTTGGGGTTTTATAACACCTCCTCTGCCACAGCAGGCTCCAGTCCCTCTGGGGCAGTGAGTCCACTGCAATCCCAGAGAAATACATCTTTGTCACCCGTTTTCCCTCTCCACTTCACCATTGGTCAAGTCAAACATGTCTATTTAGGACTCAGTATACTGTTTCCTAAGGAAAGGGGCACATTTTTCACCCCTCTCAGTTTTTACACTTTGTTAAGAGCCCGAGGCAAGTATTCGTTAATGCTACCCATGGGCCTGAGAGGCACAGCCAGTGGACAGGTCCCCTCCAGGACCTCTGACCGCCTCACCACCTCCCTGCATATCTTCCCAGCACACCCCTGTGTGGTGGCTGGAAGCAGGTCTGAGGAGCAGATTTAGGAGAGAGCGATTCCTGGGCTGGCTGCCGATGCACTGGGGCTGCAGGCAGGTCCTTCTGGGCACGGTCCCCCTCCCGCGAGACAATGGCGCGAGATGCACACAGCTCTGGGACAACACAGAGAAGCCCAGCGCTCAGCATCTCCCCATGGATCCCACCTCACTCCTGCCGCCTGCTAGGTCTGGGGAGGGAGACGGCCCTGCGTGCTCTGCATTTCTTCCTCTGCTGTAGTTCCAGTCTGGCACAACTTGAAGATGTGTTGCAAGAGTAGGTTATTTTTGCTCCTATTTTTATTTGATCAGGCTTTTAATTAAAGCTGGCTTATTAATTAACTACGACCATGGCAAAGGGGTTTTTCTCTGTGCAAACAGACTGGAAGCTCTATTTTGAGGCACGCTCTGGGATGACTCATTCATTGTTTGGTTTTAATATTAACTATGAGGCACTGTGGCTGTAAGCATCATATAAGCTTTAAGATAAATATTTTGGCTGTCCTAATGGGTCAGATTTGCTCTCCCTTTATTCCTGTTTCTCTTACCTGCCTCCAGTAACAGTCAATGTACAGGTAACCTCTGAGGTCTCTGGAGGGTGTTTTTCAAATTAGCATATGTTTTAAAGTCCCCCTCACCAATTTCAGCTGGAAGCCTTGGACATGTTCCACTCTGCGCACACCCTTTCCTCCACCAATATTAGATCAATCAGCAGCCCAGCCTTAACAGGACACCAGCTCAGCAGCCATTGCCTTATCTCAGGGGCGTGAGTTCTTTGGTACAGAAGGATTTTGCTGCTCTGCCTTCCATTCCCTCATCCGAAATACAGGTACATGGTTCTGCAGGCAGTTGCGTGGCGCTGGGGTGGGGGATTCCTATCTCTACCAGACCTTGCGGTAACCCCAGCCACGTTTAATGCAGCTACCCGCTTCAGTAAGTGTTCCTTGGCCAGAGCGCAAAAGAATAGATTAGATCCACAGTAAGTTATATCCATTCAGGGGGACAACCGGATCAGCTGGGACAGGGACTTGAGGCCAGACTGAGTTTCCGCCTGTCGCATCCCCGCTGTCACGACCAGCTCTGCTCCAGGACTGGAGTTTGCGGAGAGCAAAGCGAGTTACGCACGGAACATACCCAGGTTCCCTACCCCAGTTCCTTGCAGCACTGGGACCCAGCCTACAGGCCTGGCCAGCAGCCCTCGCCTGGCACGGGGACAGCGTGAGCCTCGCAAGAGAGCGCCGAGGTGAACAGCGTGTCATGGCGGTGGCTTCAGCCACGCTGCCCCTGCTAAAGCCCAGGGCTGCTCCGCGGCAAGGCTAACGTGCCAGGAGTGTGGTTTCAGACCAGCCACGCCTCGCGGAGCCCACCAACACGCTCCTTAAAGGCGCTGCGGCTGGAGCGGAGCTGGCTGCAGCAGGGCCAGAGCTGGCTGCCAGGCCTCCCCGGGGCGGCGGGAGCAGGGGCACCGAACAAGGCGGAGGCACGCCTTCACGCGCAGCGGCGAGAGGGGCTTCGGGCGGTGGGCAGGGGGGAGCAGTGCTTTACCTGTCAGTGCAAGGGCCATGTCCAAACCTTCTGGCCGTGCCTGGCCTCTTCCCAGCGGAGCCAGCGGGACGAGGGGCAGCTTCTCTGCAGATCCTCTCCGCGCGAGGGGCTGGGGGGCCGGGGCTTGGCCTCTGATGAGGCGCATTGGCCTTTGCAGGAGGAACTTCAAGGCCCCCACAGCTTTCTTCACCTCGGAGGCTGGAGTGATTGAGAAAATCCCTCTCCAGCCCGCCCTGTTCTCAGGCCTGTCTGGAAAGAAGTGTTCATACACCTCAGGGACCGAGATAACCAGGGAGTCTTTGTCTGGAGCCGAGCTGGGATCCTCCTTTTGCAGCTGAGCGTGGTCCAAGCTGCTGAACTTCTTTCGCTTCCTGTCTTTACCCTTGACTTTTTTCCTGTTTCCTTCTGGTTCATTGAAAAAATATTCATACAGTTCAGGTAAGGATATTTCCCTTTCCAAGGGTGTTTTCTCCCCTTCCAGTGAGTTACCCATTCCTTCTTCTTCCCCCTGGGAGTCACAGAACAAATACTCATACATCTCAGGCCAAGTCACGTCCAGAGTGTCTGCCCTTGCAGAAGCCCCAGCTTCAAAGCGAGGAGGGCCCAGCTCCCCAGGGCTCTCAGCGGCAGGCTCCCCATGAGCTCCCTCAGCAGCTTCCCCTCCCAAAGCTGCCACGCTCTTGGGATGGAGAGGCTTCCCCGGCACCTGCTGGCATGCCTCTCCTGGAGGAGCTGTGGTTCCGCTGGCAGGGATCACCGGCACATTGTCACGTACGCCCAAGCCACCAGCCTGCCCTGGCTTTGCATGCTTGGTGGCCTTTGCCTTCCCCAGGGGCTGTGCCCCCGGCTCCTTCGCCTTCTGCTTCGGTGGAGTGCTCTCGGATGGATCTCCCTCGTCCGTGCCAGGGCTGGGCACCAGCCGTTTGCTCTCCCCTGCCTCCTCGCTGCCCAGCTTCACAGGAGCTGGCTTGCTTGCCTTCTCCTTCCCTTTGCTCTTTCGTGAGGACAGTGGCGAGCTTAAAGGTGCCTTCACGGGTACCACAGTCCCCTGTGCCGCAGCCCCTGCAGGCTCCCTGTCCCCCTGGGCTGCCTCGGTGGCACCGGCTCCACGCTGCTTGCGGCTCTTTCTCAGCTGTCCTGGCACCTTGGGCCTCACAACGTCCGGGGAGCCAGCCGGGGAGCTCGGCTCGGCACCCACTCTCTCCCCACTCGCCTCCTCTCGCGCCGGGCAGCTGGGTGCTCTGGGCACAGTCTCCAGGGCTGGGCTCGAGGGGTGGTCACGCGGGGGTCCCCGTAGCCTGAGCTCCGAGCGGGAAGCGCTGCTAGGACTTCTCCTTGCCGAA